TACCAAGATAATTTCAAAAAATTTATATTTATGATTTAGTATCTTATTTCCATTTAAAAAAAAATGTTTTATATTTAGTTGATAAGTATTTGTTAATATTCCACTCTGGTATAATATTATCATATCGGAATTATTCTATTCTAAAAAAAAGAAAACTTTACTTTGTTTTGTAATATACCTCTTATAATAATATATAAAGTGTTTTTATACCGTGTATACGTTGAATTATTATTTACGTTGTTTATTCGTTTTCGTGTTTGCAATGACCTCGCATAATCTTTCTGGTTTATCTCCATTGATTCGCAATTTGAATGCTCCAGTAAAACTTATTCGAAAATATGCACATTTAGGCTGCTCTGATAGTTTGCTAGACCTCATATTATCCGATGAAGATGTAATATATGCACTACAATTTAATTGCATATTACATACTGTTCTTCCTTTTTTTTACTGTTTTATGTTCAGATTTGTTTTCGATATTGGGTAGTTAATTGCCTGATATGTTCTTTTTTTATTTTTTGTTAATTTGTAGGGTATTAAACTTCAGGCGACTATAGAATTTTAAGTTGCACGTAACTTTGGTCAGTTGTTTGGTGAGGGTGATTGGTTGGTGCTGCGGAATTTTAGAGTGATGCCTAATAATGAATTAAGTACCAAAATTGTCCCACATCATTTTCGTATTGTTTTGGATTTGAATTACTAAAGTTTTGAACAACAATCCAAACAATTTCTTTTCTTTTGTCGAGTACGAAATCATACTAAATGGTTCTCATTGCGATGGATGTTATGTTGGTAAGAATCTATATTTTATTTTTGGAGTTGTGGTTTTTATGGTTCTATACAACATAGTATATACCTTAATTTTTTATTCTTTTTTTTTGTTTTGTTTTTATTTTAGATTTGATTGGTCGCGTTATGACTGTTGAAAATTATGTCGATGAAGATCTACCTTATGAGAGTTACATGAACGGTGATATATATCTTGAGTTAGAGAATGAAAGGTATTAGACATTATTTAGCTCAGATTTTTGTATTTCATTGTTTAAGATTTTAATATATGTTATAGTCTAATGTATATCAATTGTACCTTTGTAGGGGATGTCGCTTGCCATGTCCGTTAAAGCATCCTTATGGTATTCAGTTCACTAATGGTTTATCAAAATTCGATGGTGCTATTATTATTTGTATCATTCGATTTGCAGAACTCAAAATTTCGAAAGGTGAAAAAATTGCTTTTAAATTTCTCGATACACTATGTGTGTTTTAGTTAATTCATTTTATCATCTAATTATTTGTCCCTTGGTATATTTTTTTGTTGTGTTTTACAAGGTTCTTGGATAGTTACGACGGCTTATAATTGTATGCAGCTTATGTTGGACCCAGGTCTTCCTGAAGAGACCAATCTATTGAACTTATGGAAGAGGATCGTTGACGATTAATTCTTAGACCCGTTGATTTGATTTTTTTTATAGTTTAATGATTTGTTATTCGATGTTATAATCATTATGTTATTTAAGTTAGCAAAAAAAGAAGTTATTCTTTGGGATATTCTCGGATGGTGGATCTTATGATTAATTTTGTGGCGATACTATACTCAATAAAAATATATATTGGAGAATTTTATTTGTGACGTTTTCTTTTAAATATTTTATACGTTCTTAGTTACGTAACTATATAGAGATAGGTAAAATAAAATTAAATACCGAGTAGATGCATGTAACTAAAAACTCATCGTCGTATATTTACAATGATCATAATAATTTTATTGTTAAATTTCGGATTATTTGTGGCAATTGAATATTATATAGATTTTTGGTGCTGTAATACCCTAGAGATATTCGTTTTGATATATACGTGTTCATATTTTTGTTAACCAAAATGAAAAAAGTAAATCTTCTGAAAAAA